CCGCAGGCATTTGGCAACAAACAGTTTATTTCTGGGACCCTCACTCGGCACAGGCCGCTTTAGAAAACGCAGCGAAATTGCGATGCTCGCAAGTGGACGACGTACTTTCGAGCCTCGTGGTTGCAATTCCAAAGAGTACCCAACACATTATATTGATCTCATTTTAACCGACCAACAGATGCCTTTTATCCAATTACTAACAGTACAAAAGGGATGATACTACCAAAACTAGAGCTGATTTTTATTATTGTACATTGGCAACACTGTTTATAAGGATTATTGACTTGATTTTATGGTCATTAATAACAAAATAATTTGTTGGTCAAAATTGGATCCACGAAAAGATAAAAATCTGATTATTTTAAAGTCTCCTGTAATACTCTTAATTTATGATCTTCAACAAGCATTGTAACACATTTAACAATAAACACAGAAGATGGCCGCCATTAAACGATTGGAACTGTTTCAAACGTTCCTGTATGTTTCTTATATGCATTTCGCAAAATGTTTGTTCCTAGCAAAGAAAGATAATAGACGATATAGATACCATTTTCTTTATATCAAACTTTCTTACAGTTTCGTTGTTAAAAATTTTTAAAATAAAATGAAATACAAATAAAAATAAATACCGAACTTGATAGTATTTCGTAATAATACAGGGTAAGATCAAAATTCCCTATAGATGATTTGTTATTATATTTATCAATTAATATAATTATACTTTAACACATTTTTTAGAAAGTTTCGATTCCATTCTGTCCATTTTGTAGTTTTATTTATAGTGAATTTCTTCTATTTCATCTTTTCTTATTTTTTTGTTATACACATACACACACGTACAGACCTTCAAAGATAGCAATTTCTCTCTCTTGAGGGGTTGGAAGAACTAAAAGGATATCGATCGATCCTTAACTGATCATTCGCCACACGAAGTGACTACTCCTTTGTTGTAGGAAGTTAGGAGGGTAAAAATACGTTAACAGATGTCTTTTTCCTTCACGAGATAATACAGGATGAATCAAAAGTTTCTATGATATGTTTAATAATTTTGTTACTCATATTATAAACGAACATTTTTATACAGATTAAGTTATATTTTTGTATTATTCAAATTAACTAACAGTTTTCTGAAAAACTTTTGGATATAACTTTATATATGATTATAAGAAAATAATAAAATAGAATGAGACAGAGAAGTTAAGAAAATTCTTCGAAAATTTGTACCGTTAACATGACTGGAATAATTATGTTAATTAAGTTATCATTGATGCAGAACACAAGTTACGAGTTTTACGTGCTCAACTGACGTACTTCCGGTTCTATATATAAATCTAAAATTCATTTTCATTGTTAAACTTTAATATCTTATTCATATTATTCGTCATTAAAAAAATTTTTAACTTACAATTAGTATATTATACGTTCCATTTAAAGCATGAATTAGTTATAAGGAGTTTCACAGATGGTGCGAGATATATATATTTTTAACGTATTTTATTTTTAATATTATATTTATGTAAAATATATACATATATATATATGTATACAATTTTTAATAATTTCTCATTTCTCTTCGTGCATTTAGAATAATACAAAGAGAGTGAGAGACAGAGAGAGAGAGAGAGAGAGAGAAAGAGAAAGACGATTCGCGACAAGAATAAATAGTCGAAGAAACTCCGTAGAAATTGGGACACACTCTATAAATAAAGGAAATTTCGGTCTAACGGAATCTTTTAAAAAAAAAATATATGTCAGACTTCGTATATACACAAGGATATGCTGAAAAGTTGTGAGCCTCAACGAAAAAGAAACTTGTTTTTAAATAAAAAAGCGAGTTTGACGAAAAAGAATGATTTCTATGTTAGGCTCAAAATTTTTCAACCCACTCACGTCTATACACATACATTCAAATCGAAAACGTGAAAAAGTGAACTTGGCACACTGTATGACTGTATTATATGACAAATAATAATTTGATTAGACAGAATTATATGAATTAACACTCGTTGCATATATATGTTATATTATATTAAAAGCACTTAAAAAATAAATTGGCTGAAGTAGAAAGTTTATTATTTCAAATAGAAAAAAAATCAAATAAGAATATCATTGAAAATTCGAAAAGTTCCAAAACAATAATACAAAATTTAAAACATATTGTTCGGTAAAAGGTGTCGTACGTGTTATGAAAATTAAACTGGCTCTGAAGTACAAAGAAACATTGTTAATTCGATACTAGAAAAGAAATAAAATAAGAATATCCAATTTGAATTGAAATGAAATTTGTTAAACGAAAAGTATTAAATGAATGAGACATTGTACCTTATGATAATTATTCTTTTCTTACTTTTGGAAATTCGGGACGCCGGTCGAATGGAAATCTGGACGACTTATTATTAGTTGTAGGCTCGAAAAATGATTTGCTATCCTCATCCAATTGTTGTTGAATCTCTTGAAGAAGTTTGTCCCCCGACTTTCCACGGAATCTTTCACCGAACCTCGGCTTGTCGCGGAAATAAAATGACATTTCCGCGAGTGTGCTCTAATGTGCACAACGACGATGATCACACACACATACACACACGCGCGCGCACACACTTCGATTAATTGTTATATCTTGTTTTTTTAAATACACTTTTCACAAATTTTATGGTGTTTTATTTTTTGGAAATGAGAACAAATTTAATATATATATATATAATGTGTGAATATGTGTATATGTATATTTATATGTATATATGTATATGATTGATTGAATTGTTCTTTTGCTTCAGTACTTATTTTATTACCCAAAACACAACCTCACAGCATGAAGTCTTGCGCGTTACTGAAATCTCGCGCCGATTCATAAGTAGGTTCGATATTAAAACCGATAAGCAGCACATGCGCGCTACGACTCTTCTCTAGCGAAAGAATCGAAAAGTGCTCAATGATTGGTCCATTCTTAACCGAGTACTCCAATCGCAATACTTAACGGGCCAATTTATCGCTGCAAATTCCTTCGCAATTTTCCAATGCTCTCAAAGGTCAGCTTAAGATATCTAAATTTAATCTGGGACTCCTTAGACAATACAACTTTTATCTGCAATTAAATTGGCACAAAGAGGACATATGATAGTTTTTCATTTTAAATGATTAAATAGATCGAAGTGATGATTAAATCAAGCTTTTTTTCAAAATTTCGTGGAATATTTACGCGACTTATATATATTATTATTATTATTATTATTATTATTATCATAAAAGATTATGTAGACAGAATAAAAATTGATCTAAACAATCTATTAATAATTTTGTTCAGATTTATCTGTTCTTATATTAAATAAATGATTTATTAAGTGCTTGGATAAAAATATAAGATTACGGTAGAGATAAATAAAAGAATAATAAAATGAAATATATAACGATGGTAAAGTAAGTAGCATCATGATCAATAGAATGTTTAACCAATCAAAAATTCAGCTATCAGCTAACTTGACCGTAGATACACTAGCCGGGACCCTTAACAGCAGAAAAACATAAATAAGTGTTCTTAATTGCTCATTATTTGCTCAACTTTATTTTATTAAATATTTTTTATTTATCGTTAATTAATTGAAAATAATTGTTACACTTTGAATAATTATTAAATGGCGACGTCATGAGTGGGAGATATGTTATACGCATGCGCAACCACAAATTCAAGGCGCAAGTGCACTTTGAAAAAAAATGAAAGTAAAGTTGGTATACCTGCAGGGGATATATTTAAAGTTGATTTCCAAATTAACAATATATACTATTGATGTAATTTAGTTTTATGAGTATATTGAAATAATGCTTATGATTTTTTACAGCAAAGTGTTTTGAATAAAATCGAAAAAGAAACATTTTATCGTAAAAACTGTAAAAAAATTGTAATCAGTCGTATACTGGAAGTTGATTGTTATCTATTTTTAAATGTAGATCATTTTTATGAAGTAACCTATTCTTCAAAAAACAAGTTATCGAACACTAATTTGCAGGAAATTCCTATAATACTGAATATTCAAAATAAAAAATATTGGCTGACTGGAGTGATTGTATTCCGTCCATCGTCCTTACGGGATAACATCGGACATTTTGTGGCTTATACTCGTACAATCCAAACCAAATGGACTGAATTAGATGATTTGCACCAAACTCCAAACATTTTACGTACTAAACTACCTAACGCTAGAATTTCTTTATTATTATATGTTTTATTATAAAAATTTATTCATTAATTGTAAATAATAAAAATAATGTGACTCAAAAAAAAATAATTGTAAATTATGTTCACAAAATATCCTTTCAATATATTCATAAAACTAAATTACATCAATAGTATATATAGATTCTGCAAATAATAAATAAATTATTTTAAGGATTATAATATTTACACAGTAAGAATAATGTAAAAAGAAAATCGTATATTTAAGTTTTCTTTTTTCACCACTAGTGTCGCTAATATTCCTTTTGTACTGCTCTGAAATAGTAACGTACCAATTATTACTATTACTATTTACTAATAATATTACTATTTACTCATTTTTGTACGATTATTAAATAATTATATATTTAATTTCAATTATTTATACACAACCTAAATGATTAACGATATAGTTTCGTATTATTATTTCTATTTCAAACTGCCGCCTTATTCCCCTTCCATTTTGGTACAAATAGAACACGGGCACCTTCTTATTTTTATATCCCTATACATGAAATAATTAATAAAATGAGCAATTATGGATTTTGATTGAGAATTTAATGAGCAATTAAGAGCACTTATTCATTTTTTTCTGCTGTTAAGAGTCCCGACTAGCGTATCTACGATGCTAACTTGTCCATTAGTTTATTTGTACAATAGCGTCAATAATAAGACCATTATTACTTTCAAAATTTCTTTGCTTTCTATCAAAATTATACGCACTTGCAACAACAATAATATATGTAGTTAAATAATAGATTATGTGTAACTATCTTTATAAGTCATAGGAAGTACGCTCTCAGTTGATAATACAGTTTCATTGATACAAAATCATATAAGAACAAGTATTAGTCTCAGAAAACAAAGACGTTTAATTGTATAAATGAAGGAAAATTGAAGAACACGTTAAAGATAGTGAAATGTAATGTTTAATACTTGAAAGAAATAAACGACTGGATTCAAACGAAAGTGAGATAAATACTTTGATATTACGCCGGTATAACGATTTTCTTTTTCATATTTCATTTACTCCATAATTCTTCTTCAATACAAGGTCACAAATTATCATTGTCCTTTGAGTTAAACTCTGTGAGTTAAACTCTGTGAGTTCAAAATGAATAAAATAGAATTCTTTTGCGAAGCTTTGAAACGAATTCGTGCAGAAACTGAAAATGGTAAAAATTTGGTTTTTATTTGCGTATTGTATATATTTTTACTTTTACACACACACATAATATACATAAGCGTAAGTTTCTTTCAATGTTTTTCTGTAAGGTGCTGATCGAATAACCGAAGAAGGTGTACTGCCAACAACAACAAATGGAACGCCAATACGGAAATTGTTTGTTTGTAATGTAGCACAAAGGGTATGTTTTGTATTCTTTTTTATCGCATGTTTTATCCTTTTGTTTATACTTGTGGTAACAATGGCACGTGGTGGGAGCTACAACACCCTTATTTAAATTTCATTTTATCTTATCTTTCTACAAATTTTTTATCTTCAACCGATATATGCCATTGTATCATGAAATTGAAATTATGATTTAAAAAAAAATTGGATTTGTAAATTATAATCGTTTTTTAAAAGAACAAACTTACTCTTCGGAAACGTAATTTTAATTTCTGTCGTTTTCGAAAGAAAAAAAAATGAAAATTTTCTTTTTTATACAGACAACATTAAAAAAAATCAATTATTTATTTATTTTTTGTTTTATTTTACCTATTATCAAAATAATAATTGAATTTAGTTCAATAAATTTGTAAATATTTTAAGAAAAATTATTCAATACTAATGTAATTTTTTACAGACAACGTTTAAAGATTTGAATGCATTATTTTCTGAATATGGAAAAGTTGAGAGTGTTTATTTGAATACAACAAACAGTAGAAATAATTATGCATTTGTTACATTTAGTACAGTTATGGGTGCAATCAAGTAAGACAAAAGTTTTTTGTCAGCATTGTACAAACTCTTGATGATATGAAAAATAAAATATTCTTCTTTTTTTGTTGGTTTTAATTTATAGAGCTAGAGAAGCCGGAAGCAACAAACGTATTCATTTACATAGTAGAGATTTAAAAGTGATGCCAGCAGATCCTTGGCACCAACCGGATAAAATACAATTTAAAAGTAATAATTCAACAAAGGATTCGAATAAATCTCGTGAGATGTCTTTGATTGAAGGAACTGATCAAAACGCTGTAGAAAATTCTACAATCGCTTCGATCGATGTATTAAATGACGATTGTTTAAAGCACATTTTTCTTTATTTACCAATTATGGATAGAATTGCCATAGAAAGAGGTAAAATAATATTGAATTCCTCTTTTCCAATATATATTTAATTATTATTACTTCGAGAAATTGTGCGATACGTATATATTTTTATATAATTAATTTCATTATATTATAACTTTGTTTTCAGTATGCAAACGTTGGAAGGATGTGTCAAAAAAATCGTGGTATAATGTTAAAAAATTAGATCTTTCTAATCATACGTGGGGAATATTATCACACGATAAAAAAATTAATACATCTGATTTACGCCAAGTATTATTGAGATGCGGTAGATTTGTAACTCAGATTGATTTTCCGTATAAATATCCGACTTTAACGCGAAGTACTTTGTCCATCATTGCCAAATTGTGTCCTAATTTAGAAATAGTTGATTTTAGTGGAATCGAAATGTCTTCTTCCGGAGTAGAATTATTTTCTGATAATTGTACAAATATAAAAAAGCTTACTTTAGCATTTTACACGGCTTCTTCTCCTAATATAATTGATAGAGATTTAACAATATTATTTCATATGTCCAAACGCTTAACGTACGTAAGTCTTCGTGAAATGAGAATATCGGGCAAATGTTTAGAGTTTCTTTCATCGGATACATTAGAAGAACTTGTTTTAATTTCTTGTAATAACATCACTGGACGATATTTTCTCAATGTAAGTTTTTATATAGAAATATTTGTCATATATTTTTCAATGATTTTATATTTACATAAGATAATATACAAATTTAATTTAATTTTATATTATTAATTTAGGCCTTAGAAAACCTGAAGAATTTAAAAAAATTGGTTATAAATAAGAGCTTATTTCTCATCGGTGTTTCACTTGAAGCAATGGCGCAATATTGCACAAATCTTCAACAATTCGAGCTAACAAATGTAGTAGATGTTTGTGAATGTTATTTCGTAAATTCAAATATATTGCCTTTAGCGAAATTTGTTAATCTTGAAATTCTAAAACTTTCAACAAATACTTTTGTAGACGACTTTCTTTTAATTGCTTTGGCCTCATCATGTACAAAACTGACCTATTTAGATATTGAAAGTAAGAGTTCTCTAAAATAATTTAATATGACTATAATAATTTATAGATACAAAAAAGATAATGAAAAATTAATTTTCATTTTTCAGACTGCAATAAAGTTACTGATAGGGGTTTACAAGCTGTGGCAACTTTACCAAAATTAGAAACTTTAATAATTAACAATTTGATCTATATAACAGCTGTAGGTTTAGACAATATGTGTAGCATAAGACGACTAGAATGTAAGTATTGTAATTCGGTACAGGATACAGGCTTAGCTATCCTTATTCATGCATCGCCTAACTTGGAATTACTCGATCTCACTGGTTGCAACGGTATAACCAATGACACTATTAACGTAGCTGAATATGTTACTAGTCGTAGATCCAATAATATCGTTTTAAAGATGTACATTGGTGAAACAAGCGTGACGCGTCATAATCATACATCTCCTAATTTGATGTTACTTCGTATAAAAACAACAGATTGCTAGTCCTAATTGGAAATGTTTCTAAGTTACTGCCAGTTGATGCCTCGTTATCGTTAGCCTAAGGTAGGCTATTTCAACCCATTAATCAATATCACGTAATACCAATGAATAGCTTCAAAATTTTCTGATAGGCTCCAATGTTCAACAAGATCTGATTAATCTCCTATTACATTCCTCCATTAAAATCATCAAGCGCCAGACTACACAACAAAAATTGGAACAACAACAAAATGAAAAGGAAAAACTGGCCGTTCAATGCCAATAAATTGAACAACTTTGATTACTAATTTATATACATTTATAGTATTTGTACAAGCATTTAAAAAGAAAAACGAAAAACAAACAAAAATTATTTGTTACTTACAATTAAACATCATTATTGTGTAATATCTATTAAAAGAAAAGTGAATAAAAAAGTTATTTAATTGCAAAAGTTATTTGATTAAATCAAAATTAATTCCAATATAAATATATTATAATATAAATCAAATAAAAATAAAACTCTTTTACCAATACTTTAGAATTTCATTACATATAATTCAAATGCATATGGTAGAGGATAAATTTATTATTTATCGCTACCTTTTCTATACATATATTTATTTTTTCTTTAGTATGATTATAACATTTAGATAATGAATATAACTGCAATTATCCACATCTTTTTGCAACAAATAATTTGCACATATAATAATAATAATAATAATAATAATACGATTCATAATAAAAGATCCTATTTCTTCGGCACCTTCAAACTAATATCACTAAATTTTCTATCAACATATGTTACATCTTGCAGCTTGACATTTTAACAGTCAAATGATATTTGTTCTTATATTACTTTCTATTTTTTAAATCTTTTTTTCTTTTAAATAATAATAATTATTATTTTTATTAATAAACATATGCCACGCGTTAAGCAGCATCACATCATTATCATTATAATTATTATTAATTATTATTATATATATATATATATATAATAATAATATTAAGAAACATCTGTGTTTTGGGGGATTTCGCGTCTTACGCTATTATGCATGCCAACGAGGAGTATGTTCATCATGTTTTATAAACATTCTTATTGTAGTACACTCCGATTTATTTTAAGCCAAATCGGAACAGGCTGACACTGCCTATACCTGCAGTTACATTTATGAAAGTCGTCTTTCAGACAAGCAAGAAGAGATTATTAAAAAGACGATTGTTTTTGTAATAGCATTACATACATTATCTCGTATATCAATATAGATTAAGTATGTATGCGTTTCTATATGTAACAGAGACCGATGGCTTTTGGTTTCAACTTATACTGCGCGATTTCTTTCTTTCTTTCTTATTCTCTCTTCCACTCTCTCTCTCTTTCTCTTATACATATTTTTTTACTTATATATATATATATATATATATAGTATATAAAATTTAAGGATCCGATGACAATACACTATTAACCGTATAATATTCATAAAAGACGACATATATGCGCCAGTAATTAAGACAGTGGACCAATTTTTTGTCTATCATTTAACTTACAATTAGTTAACTTTCATAATTACCAGCACACAATATATATTTGTATATATATATGGTTTGAAATATAACATACAGGATACTATTTGACAATAATAACGATACTAATATTTAAAACTGTTTAAATGTCCATGAATATAAAACTAATCGTTAAGCGACAAAAATAGTTTATTAAATCTAATTTATTTAAATTACGTAGGAAAAACTTGATGCATAATTATACGGCAAATGCAGTTATAAGTTATGTATGTATATATATATGTATATTTCGTGTGAACACATGGACATATTTTAAGATCACACTAAGGACTTGTATTTTTTTTTTTCTTTTTTGACATTTTATATACGAGGCCACCTTTATTTATATTACGAGATTTCCATCTTGCCGCGCGTCTTAATAATTAGTAGAATCAATCACATACACGAGAAAGAAAATGATTTATATTATTTGATATATATTAACCTGGAGTATATAAATTATTTATCTCGTTTGGAAGGCTTTTTGTCTTTCTTTCTTTCAAAATTGATCATTCTGATAATGTCTACAATAAGAGTATATAGTATATATAGGGTATCTTGTAACCAGTGGTACAAGCGAGCACACGCGTGCTCAATTCCACACGTACTCCATAAATTTTTAAGCTTATTTGTTTTTTTAAAACAAAGAAATATGAACAAATTTTATTCTACATTTTCAACTTAGTTTTTCATGTAGAATCATCTCCTACTTGCCCGTACCACCAATTATAGGACATCCTGTATATGTACTCTAATCTCTTAGTCTCGTTCCATATATATATTTGATATAAAAGAATCCTATGAAATTGTAATGAATGGCGGAACAAAGTCTTTTCACTAGTGTATTTGTGTATGTACGTGTGTGTATGTGTGTGAATGTGTATATATAAATAACATTCTAAGGATGTCAGGTACAAATTTTCTATGCATAACTTGACCTAACTAATATTCGTCAAATGATTTCTTTCATATACCTGATATCCATATATTCAAATATCCTAATATCATCATCACAGGGAACACATCGTATATTGATCATTGTATTCATTTGAAACTTATACCGTATTTAACTGTTTACATGTATATCTTACATACTTTTCAAAAATAATAATAATAATAAGAATAATCCTAAACTTATAGATGAAAATTGATTTCATTCGAAAATATATAAAAGAGCAGTGGCGTTTAAATGGCATAAAATATTTTCGATATAATAATGATTATTAATTAATAAGTTATCTTCTCTCTCTATATATTATATACCAACTATACATACATATGCAAACAGATATAGTCTTACATTTAAACCATATAATTTTTTTTTCTTTTCTTTTCTTTTCCACACTTGAATCATCGACTCGTTAATATCTTTCCTACATTAATTAATGGTGATTTTTAACATGGACTTATCATATGGATTGTTGAGTATTCTATAGTCAAAGTTTATACTTTATTCTTAATTATAGTAACTTGCTTGCCTCTTCTAAATCTTATTCATCATTCGATTGTTTTTTTTTTTAAACAACGAGGAATAAGATTATATCAGGGAAAAAAACATAAAAAATGGAGTTATAATATTAATGATCATAAAATTAATCAAAAGAAAAAGAAACGCCACTGTCTAATATAATCGAACGAAAAGAAAATAATAACTGACTTATGAGTACTGAACGCGTATATAAGTAGTCAAGTATGTAAGAGTTACATTTATTCAGGATTGTACGTTCGCTAAACGAGTTGGAGTAGTCGGTTGAAGATCCATTGTACGGCATACCCAGCCAGCAATATCAACATTCTCCGACTCAGCTGTTTTTATCCATTCGTGATTCTACAAAATGTGTGTTAGTATATATATTATATTATAATATAGTAGAAAACAATATCACAGAAATATAATTTTTAAATTTATTTTGAAATATCTTTTTTGATACCATTAATGTCTTTAAGTCTGCTCTTTCAGATGGATTTTTCTTCAAACAACGATCAACAAAATCTGTGAATGTGTCACTGAAAAAGCCAACCGGCAATTTTGGTGGTGGTTCATTAACAATGTAATCTAATAATTCAAATATAGCCATGGGTCTTGGGCTACCAGCACCTATAGATCATAAATAATAATAATAATATTATTATTATCATTATGCTATATATACAATAAGTAATTTAATTATACTATTAATAATTTGAACACCAACTATGTCCTGGTGATTGTTGAGTTGGTGTAGGCTCGCTATTTGTTGCTGCAGTCTCCATTGAAGGTTGACTTCCAGCTTGTGTGCTAAATATCGATGCCAATGTTTTTTCATCGGGAGGTGGAATGGGATACATACCAATAGCCATTTCAACAAGAGACAATCCTAACGACCAAATATCACTTTGTACGGAATAATGGGTACCTTGTAATCTTTCTGGCTGTAAATGTGAACATATAATTAGCATATAATATCTTCTTCAGATTTGTGGTTAGAAACATAGACATGTATTTGTGATAAATAATATTTACCGACATATAACTTCTGGTACCAACGAATGAATTAGCCATGGAATCTATCAACTGACCGGAGACACCAAAATCACATATCTTGATCTCTCCTGCGCTATTTACAAGAATATTGCTTGGTTTAACATCGCGATGCATGATAGCATGCTTGTCACGCAAATAACTTAGACCTTTCAACACCTAGGAACAAAAAATAATATTAGATTTTTTTAGATATACCCTATAGAATTAAAAAAGAAAAGAAAAGAATATGAAAAAAAAGAAGAGCAATATAAACATGATTGAAGTTAGTTGAGCTGTAAATATAGTACCACAACGAAATAAGTAAACCTTAATTATTATTATTCAAAATATTGTTTTAAGAAATTATCGAAACAAGATGCCTGAGATGCAAACAATGTCAATGAAAAATCTTCGGCCAAAATTGAGCTATAACATTTCTTCTTTATACATTGCAAAGAAGAAATTAACTGAAGCTGACTTTGAAGAACTTCTTCAGGAATTAGATACCACGGATCACATAATTCCGTTGGAAGATTTATACATGAAATTAAATACAAATCCAGTTAATGGTCTAACAGAGAAAGAGGCTCAACAATTACTTCTTAAATATGGACAGAACACGTTATCTCCTCCTAAGCAAACACCCGAATACATTAAATTTTTGCTGTCTATGTTCACTGGTTTTGCAGCATTATTGTGGGGTTGCGCTGCTCTATGTTTCTTACTAGTCTTAATCTGTTATTTATTTAAAGAAGAACAAAGTGGAATAGAATGGTTGGGGCTGATAATTGTTATAATATGTCTCATATCTGGAATATTTGCTTACATACAGGAAAGTAAGAATACAAAAGTTATGGACTCTTTTGCAAAAATGGTACCTACTTTTGCAACAGTAATAAGAGATGGCAAAAAAATGCGTCTTGGTACCGAAGGATTAGTGCTTGGCGATTTGGTAGAGATCAGACTTGGAGATAAGATACCTGCTGACATAAGGATAATTAAATGTAACGGGTTGAGAGTTGAAAACTCGAGCATCACTGGTGAAAGTGAACCGGTTACTCGTACGGACTATCCAACAGATCTAAATCCTTTGGAATCTTCAAATGTTGCTTTTTTCTCTTCATTTGCTGTTGCTGGAGATGGGATAGGTGTAGTTATTGCCACAGGAGATGACACAATGATCGGAAGATTAGCAGGATTAACGTCACATTTAGAAAAAGTTGAAACACCGATTGCTAAAGAGATTAAACATTTTGTTCACATTATCACAGTGGTTGCTATCATTTTTGGTTTACTTTTTTTTGGAATTTCTCTCATGTTAGAACCAAACATAATTAAAGCTTTCACGTATCTACTCGGTATTGTTATAGCCAA